ACTAACTTTGTGTTCTCTCCTGACATATTTAACCATTCATTTAGTGTAGGAAATTGAAAAGTTGGAGCATTACTTTGGCTAGAAATTCCAATTCCACATACTTATAAGCCCTCCTTTCCATCAATTTGGCTTAGTATCTACAGCCGCTTCCTCTCACTCCCTGAAACTTCACACATAATCCGAGTCAAATCGTCATCATTACATCAATCAACCATGCTCCAATTCGAGCAAAGTTACACATGGTTTTTTTTAGTGTACATACACCTAATGCCAAGCGTACAAGCGTGTGTGTGTGTGTGCTCGTGCGTGCGTGTGTAAAGAGGTCGGCGATGTTGTTGTCGCTGCCGCCATTGCCATTGCCGGTGTACAGTTCATCGATGCCGATTTTGCTGCAATTTCGCTGCGCAAATTTTTGGCACACCCGTTGCCTAGTTTCGGGCGCCAAGCGCACAAAAAAACATTACGCCAACTGCCAGGAAGAGGCTCGCTTACGTGTTCCCCTTTCCTCGTCTTGTTTTCTTTTCCGAAGCCTCCTTTTTGCGGCTTTACTGTGCAGCACCTTTTTGGGGTCGCCGTCGCTTCATTTTGTACACATGCCGGCTCGCATTTTGACGCATGTGGATCGCTGTGGAAGGTGCCGCAGCGCTTAGCCGCTTGTCCAGCCAAGAGGAGCTGACAGAGGCACCGTTTTTATTTCGGAGACGTGACAAACGCAATCAGCGTCAGTCACATGTGTAAAAATGTTTTCCGCCTTATGCGTGCGGTGTGTGCTCCAGGACACTCACACACACATGCATATGTATGTATAGTATGTATATGTATCCCTATACTATATATGCATGAGCATGTATTGCAATACTGAGGCGTGCAAAGAGCTTTGCATGAAAATTGCTCTGTGGCATTCGTTCCAGAAATGCTGCGGCTATGGCTAGCTTTCTGTTGGCTTCGTTGACGACTCCCTCACCATATACCAGTTCAATTTTAGATTTAGTAGAACACATTCTTTTGTTGTTTTTTTTTGATGACAAGAGGATTTGGTATAGAGCACGAATGCAAACTGATAAGCACTCAGACCATGAAGGCCAATCGGTAACCGCTCTCTCTATTAAATTATTCAATTAAATTCAGGAAATGAAATTCATGAATTTAATTAATTACTGTAGGTCAACTTATTCGAGCTGAATATTGTTAATGTCTCGACTTATGTTGTTTCTCGTTTTAAGATGGACTCAAGAAAGTGCTTTCTAAAGATTGCCTGCACTCCGGACAAAGAATGGGGATAATTCGCCTGAATGGAAGATTTAGTTGTTTTGGGAATATTTCAAAATTCAGATGCAAACAACTGCAAAACTTCACATCGATAGAAGTTTATTTTTAAGTCTTGCAGTAAAGGTGAAGGGTAAATAAATTACCAAATAGCAAAGACCACTGATGAATATTCAAGCAATGTGATACGTCTCTATATATTTGGGTAGAAAAATCAAGAGCGTTTTTAACTTCACAAGGTTCTAATTGGGTGAAGACAAAGGGTATAGAATATTAAGCAATTGGACGCGTGCAACTCTAACATGCTAATCGTTTATTCATGATTTCAAAATTTAAACTTGTATCTGAAACCACAATAATTTATTGAAAGCACATTGCTGAAGAGAATGTTTTCTTCTCCTTGATTTTTAATCCAAATTTAAAATCACAATCACAGCTACGACCGCTTGCTAACAATGTATATATCCCGTCCGGACGTAGGTTTCTATTAAGCGACATTGGCAATGACCAGCCACAGCTATCACACGCCCAACAGATGAGAGCCCAGCCCTGTTGACTTAATTAAAATCGCAGTGCAACTGAGAAATAGCAGCTCAAAAGCAACAGGAAAAACCTAAACACAAAACCAGAGTACCCGTGTGTAGGTAGTTGTGTAAAAGAAAAAAAAAAACGACTGCAAAAGAAAGTGCAAAACAAATTGCCAAAGTCAAAGCATATAGCAAGGCGTACCAGAGTGCAGACGGGCGTCGGTAGACCGTGGGGCTTGACAAATGGCAATTTATAAAATCCTTTGAAGTGTCGAAAATCAGTAATTGTAGTCAAAGCGTAAATTGATTGCCAGTCGGAAACACACATCCGCACCCACACATGCAAGTACTCTTACACCTACCAACGTATAGGACTACTCGTATGTGTGTGCTTGTAGTACAGAGACAATTTGTCTGCCTGTATAGTATGTCGAAAAATCAGTGTGCCATGTTTTATTGAGTTTAATTTGTAGTTGCAAATTAATACCCACACTTCAGTTTTTAATTAAAATGCACAAAAAAGACCTGCACTAAACCAACTTTCTGCCAAATTGCAACTGGGCACTCAATTTGGTGCGCCAGTGTAGTCTTGGGAAACTTTTAACGCAGACAAGTCAAGTAACTCAATTGCCGTCTGTCTGGGTATGTGGGTGTTTCTGTTTATAGAGCGTAAGTATTAGGAATGGGTGGTGTGTGTGTGTGTGTGCGACTGCGTCTGCATCAACTTTTAGTTTACTTTGCAGCATTTTTTACTCATCTCTTTCTGTGTCTCGCCTTTGCATAGTATGGCTGTGGGGCTGGCACGCTCTGTCTCTGCTTAAGTGACTTTATAACCTCAAAAGAGGCTTGCGTTTTTACTGCACTATGTTCTGCATGTGCCAGTACCCCCGGCGCATTCAAGATATACTACTATATAGTGCCTGTTGATATCCACAAAGCAGTTCAGGTGCCCTGAGGTAGAGCTGAGCATCATTTAAAGCATAAAGGAGCGTGATCGCAAGTTACTGAAAGGGTGTTGAATTTCGTGAATGTACGCTCTGACATAACTATCATGACTATTCATAAAAATAAAACGACTGTATGAAGAATTGCATTAAAAAGGAGAAACAAGAATAATTGCAGACCACACACACGATTCTACTTAAATATCATCTTCTTTTGAAATTCGTGAATATTGCAAAACGTGACAAGTGCTTGGATTTGCGAGTATGCGTGATGATGTAAACCAGTTTGTGAACGTATATTTAAAAATAAAATTATCATTAAAAAAGGATTTCCCTACCCCAGGCCCCATTTAAGTCTTAACGAACTCCTCTAAAAACAACATCCAACTGATGATAAAATGGTTACAAAAATTCATTTCTGAATATCCATAAAGACCCACAAATTTTTTTTTTTTTATAATATAACGTCACTTTAAACTTTGAATTTGAAAGTATAGGACAAAACAAAACCAGACGTTGATTTTCAGTTATCCGAAAATGACGATATTCTTTGCGCATATTTAATTCTCCGTTTGCTTTCAGAACGTTCTCAGGATCCGCAATTTGCCATTTCGCCAGCCTTTAACTAGAATAAGTCATTCGGTTATCATATGACTTACATGATGCCTTTGGGAGATCTCAATGCGAAAGTACAATAATCAGTTGTTACAACAACTTGTGTAACTGGGAAAAATCAGAAACCCATACTTTATTAAGGATCCTTACATGCAAGTCCAACATTCAGTGTCATATAATGGTTTCGTTATTGCTTCACCAATTTCCGTTTATCACTCTGCAGATGCGTTTCCTGCATAAGTAAAATTCTGCTAAATATTTTTAAAATTGGCAAGCCATAACTAAGCTAACTCGCCCCCCGGTCCTCCCCAGCCATGAATGCCAGCCATTTGCTACTCCCTCAACTCGTTTTTCAACTGTCAGCGTTAAAGTTTTTCCTTCTGCTCCCGCAACTTTAGCACTAAATTAGCTGGCGCAGCTTTTGTGCAAAGCTTATCTACCCATCCACCGATGTCGGCGATGGCCCTTGACGTATCTTTTAGCCAGTTGCATGCGCATTGTCGCATGTGTCTCCATTTGCTTCTGTTATGTTTTATTGATGAGTCTCTCAAACCAAAATTGATGATGCATCCTCGAAGTTGGCTGCTACTGCTCCAGCAGATGTTCTCGATGTCGATGTCGATAGCAGGCGAATCTTCCATATGCCATTCAATGTGTGTGTGTGTGTGTGTGTGTGTGTTTTGCATTGCCAATGAGAGAATTCTGTAGCCTGTCGTATTAAGAACGACTTCAATTTATTCAAAACTTGGCTTTAAAGCAATTTTTATTTATAAACTGTATGCAATGATTGAAAAATTAAAAACAGCGCTTTTTTAACGCACAACATAAATAAGAAAGATACAAAAACTGACACTCATAGGACTTAAAAAAAGAAAAACTTATTATTAATTTATTAATAATATTTATAATTTTTCCTATATGAATGTATGAATGTATTTATAAATTTGCATACAGAGACAAAAGCAGAAGGGAACAGCTTTGTTTGAAGACATTTGAGAGACTATTGAAAACAACATAAAATCTGAACATTGCTCATTTTTCCTGAGTAATAAAAAATAATCGGCTAAAATAGGTTTAAAATCAACCAGTTGGCATTTTCCCGATCAATAGATGTCCATATATTCAGGGCTCGCTGCATTTCCCATTTAAATATTCTAATATTTTGCAGACAAACTTAAATGTTCAAAAGCTTAACACCAAAATGGGAATTTTGTTCAGTTCAACATTATTATAGCATTATTAATCAGATAATTCCATCGTTAAGGTTAGAATATAAAATTTCATCGTAGGAGAATCTATTACGAGCTTTGAAATTCGAAACGGGTGACACAAATATCCGTTGCTTTAAATTTAAACGACGTCACTGCTTATACTTGTACCAGGGAGGCGAAACAAAAGGCTTGTACTTTGTGGAAACTGTGTATACGAGGATACTTGTAGTACTCTTTGTAAAGACAGCTCCATTTGCAGCCTGTGCATGGCAAGCTGTTTTTTTTTTCCGTGTCACAATGCAACGGAGATGGTAAAACTTTCGTAATGAGAAAAGTTGCAATGAGATGGCAAGGACAACATTATGGGAGCCTTCTCGTATTTTCTGTTATGATAACATTAGAACTGAAATTCGAGCAGGCGTTGCTTTTGAGTTCGTAGACAAACAGAACGAACCTAAAACCTTAAAACCTATAACTGGAACAAACATGGAGCAAAATTTGGCAGCACGACGCCGCAGACAAAGGAATAGGAAACAAAAAAACATAGATGAAAATGTGTAAGTATCGGCGATACATAAATGGATCCTTGTAATAATCTGATACCAATCTGCGATCATGCCAAGTTTGAATACATTGATGCCGGATCTAAGCAATCCTGTTAGCTACCTATATCTGGCTGCCGCACTGTTCAAAGCGCTGTTGCCGACAGGCGCTTTCGTCAAGAACTCCATTCGCTTGGTCAAGCGTTGCACAAAGCCGAACCGCCAGGAGTTCAGACAAGCCGCCTTGGCCACCGCTGTGGGCTTCCTCATCATGGGCTTCATTGGCTTCTTTGTGAAGCTGCTGCACATTCCTGTCACGAATATCATTATAGGCTAAGACATTATACATACGAGTACTAGTACAAGTAGTTTCCAGATGGTGTGGTGCAACTGTTTAATGCCAAATAAACTTTAAATTCAATTGCAAAATCACTAACAAGAAAAGGCAACTCCACAAATTGGCGCACAGCCATGTGCAATAAATACGCCACCGTAGGTAACTTGGCTGCTGCTGCCAAAAGCAAAGCCGGATGGTTTTGGTTTTAAGGGCCGCTGGGCTCAACAATGCCAACAAAGGCCATAACAAAGCCAAGTTACAAGCTGCCATGACGGGTCATGGCGGGTCGTAGCCGACACATTGCAAGTGTTGACAAGAAAATTTCGCTGCCAATGGGGAAAACATTGCCGTTGCCAAACCAACTGTCGGATGTGTGTAAATGTAATCAAATCACAAACTACCACGAAAGCAAATTCTTTTTTTTTTTTGTGTGTGTGTACATATTTTCGAGTGTATCGAGAAAATATGCACTTTTCTGCAAACATTCCACAGCTTACTCATATAGAAAATTTTGGGCCCAACTCAATAATAATAGCAAAGTAAAAAGTAAGTCATAATTAATTTCGAAATGAGAAGAATTCCATTCAGAAGCTATTTGCTTTCGCGCTGTAATATTTCAACAATATCTAACACGTACTAAAAATAATAATTTGCAATAATAAATAAATATAATTGGCTTCTTCTATCTAACAATTATCGAATGGACGAAGTACTTCTTAAAATCAAATCAAAGAGATTTTAAAATCAATTATTGTTTATCAATTATTTTTTTTTATCATTTATCAGTATTTGTAGACGATAGTTAATAGTTTCTTTCGTTCTTTTATAAATATTTGTACGCGATTTTAATGAGCCATTAAACTAAATGTGTTAAGCATTTGCAAGACTTGTTGTACCCAAGATTTTACAGCCGATATATATATATATATATGATATAAAGCATTGAACCACTGGTAAGAGTTATATAAATATCATCCTACTACTTTAACGATATCACATTTTAAAGTTACGCTGTAGATTAAAAATTATTTCAAAGTGTGTCAGCCTGCAGTGTTTAAAGAAGTTAAGAGTTAAGACACTTTCTTCATTAACAGTTGCAATTAAAGCCGAGACGTGTACTTAAATCAAACGAACTGTGGGCTTAATCAAACGTTATGCAAACAACTTGCCACCCACAAATTTTCAACAATTTGCTGCGTTGCAAATTTGCAGGCAGGATGCAAATACAAACACACACACACACACATACACAGATATATATATATATATATATATATATATATATATATATACGTACAGACGAGCATATACATAAAATCAAATACAGAGTCCAACAGATACATGGCGTACTTAAATGCAGCAATTTGTTTTACGTCCGAATCGTTGCTGTCCTCACTTGAAGCTTAACTAAACGCACACAGCAATGGAATCATGCAACACTGCCCTCTGTATACTCTGATCCACAATCCAATGCAGAGCCTAAGCAACAAAATTTCTGTGTCGAGTCTCAGCAGCAGCTACCCCTTCTGCTCCCCTCCCTGCTGCTTTTTGACAGCTTTGCTTACTCGCTTGTGCTCCCTGGACAATTCACTGCGAAATTGGTAGACAAAACTGTGGCAAACAAGGCAGCAAAATAACAACAGCAACAACAACGATGACAATAAAGCGAACCAAACCAAGCCGAGTAAAGTCGAGTAGAGTCGACTCGACTCGACTCGACCAGAGACTCGAGGCGAGCCAATGCTCCATGTGTTCCATCGTTCCATGGTTCCATGAGTATTTATGATTGTGTGCGTGTCTGTGCGTTTCGACGTTACCATTGAGATTGAAAAATGTTAAAAAATTGCTTTTAAATGCCGCAAAATACAATTTATTATTCAACAGAGGCAAACGCCAAACACTGACACAATATTCCAGCAACAGCTTGTGGAGAACAGCGGCCACTGGCTCAGTAGGGGGAGAGGGGGGCAGGCAGCGGCAGCGGCAGCCATGACTCTGTGTGGCACAGTGGCCAGTGCGTAGCAAACAAAGCTCAACAGTGCGGCTAGCTGTAAATTTAAATAAAGCCCACATACACACACGCACACTAACACACACACACACAATGCATACACTCATAAAAAATCCTAGTACACATAACTAAATAGTTCCCATATATTTATCCAAAAATATTTCCATTTATAGGTCTCAGAATACCACAAAGGACATTTTTTTAAATACGTTATTTTTTACCTCGTGGTAAGTAATAGGATTTGAATTAAGCCAAACATTTTTAATCCAATGCTTCAGAAGTACTCTCTAGAATCTAGACCTTTTGTGTTTGCTATTCATACTTATAAAACTCGAAAATCCATTCCCTTTTATTCTCACACATTATTTCATAGCAAAGAACAAATTCATATTTGTATTATTTGGAATTATCTGCAATTTTTGCCCTAATTTGAAATTTCAGAAATGAAGGAGATTTTGATGTTTTGTTCGATTTTTCTGTATGTATGTGCATACATACATACTGTTTGAATGAATGTAGCACAAAGCATTGGAGGGCAACAATTGTAGTTGCAGTTGTTTGGTTTATTAAGCATACGCACTGTGTGTCGATGCTGCAACGAACTGAATTGTGATGGCAGCAGGGCAATCGTTAAGGCTTTTAGCATGTGAGCCAATCGCCCGATGGGGAAATGAGTTTGGCACAAAATATGATCTGTACGAGGCAAACGACTCGATATAGCCTTGTCCATTCATCTGAAATGCTGCATTTCAGAAAGTATCAAAGAGCGTATGTCAATATGCCCTTTGTTTGCATACGCTGCTCATATTAGGGAGCAAATTATATATATTATGACGCCAGAATAACCTAACCAAAAATGAACTATAATTAAATTACCAATACAACAACAAATTCACAGTACTTGCAAAATTTTAAGACAATCATTATTTAATTTCAAAATACATATTTTCATCAACTGTTGATTAATAAATTATTAAGATGTTTAAGGAGCTCCTTGACATCTGGACGTAATTAGGATTAAAGCTAACCTAACTGTTCGCTTCGGTCACGTTTTCTAGCAGGAAATTAACAGTGGTAGGAGTTGCATAGTAAACTAGTATGTGGCATCTTCCACATGTGATATTTATAAATAAATATTAATCTTTCTAATTATACCTTATAACTCGATGCCACATAAAAACAAGACCTATAAACAATTGCAGTGAGACAAATTGTTATATTTTTACTCAACCCTCCCGGTCTACTTGTAGATGGTCGGGCCAGCCCCTGGTAAAGAGCTAACATCAAAAGAGAGGAAAATTAATCAGGTGCCGCCTCATGCAGCCGGCGGCACGTATAATTGCATTAATTTATGTACAAAAGCCAGAAATTAAAAATAATACAAATAATTAAAATATCAAACCAACGCCGGACAAAAGTTTGTAATATAAATTGTGCGCCAGCTGTCAACGGGAATTGGGGGCGTGCAAATGGAGCCCCGGCCCCGGCGGCTATAAGCAAAAAACCAGTTGAAAGGCTAATTTTCGCATTGGAACTGTAAACTCGACCATGCTGCCTGCGTCGCGGTCGCGGCCGAGTTGCAAATGCGTGCCTAATGCGTGTCGTGTTATCAGTCGACTGTCTGGTGCGTAGTAGGGCGGTGTGGGCGGCGTGGGCGGTGGCCAGCCAATTTCATGGTTAAATGATTCAGAAACAGAATTACAAAATTAGGCGGCCCGTTAACACAATGTAATTAACTTTACGCCGTTGTCCGTACATACATACTACATATATTCGATATTTATTTACTACCTCTGGCACTCCTCCCCACAGCGCCTTGAATGCGAATTGTCGATAATGCCCCCTGGGTGCACTTTGATTTTGGTCTGTGTGTCGACAACTTTAAAACTATTGAGTGTTTCCCCATAGCGCTCTGCCCCTACCCATATTCCCCCCCTCTCTGTCTTTCACTCCGTGTCTTTAGCCACAGCGCTTTCTAAAAGCAATTTGAAACAAATTTTATTGCCAAAGTTTCGAGCACATGGAAAATTGTTCAAGTGCCACAAAAAGTTGCAGTCGACGTGCCTGCGCAGTCGTGTTACAATTAGCCCAGCCTAAAAGCATAGAAGGTCCTTTGGAGACAAATGGCAGCGACAAATGGCAGCACGAATGACAATAAAATAGCTGGACACTTAGGCAAGTTTTTACTAAGGTGGCCAAGTCCAGTTGAGCAGAGCTAGTTAGGCATGTAATTTATGAAAATTAAACCAATTTGAAGGACATCACTGCAAGTAATAAAGTAGGCATAAGTCCGCTGACTTTCAAAAAAATATATGCTCTGTGGACGGAAAGCAATTAAAAAATGATTACATATATATTCAGAACACAAGAAACCAGATTCCTAAGCTATACAAAGCCTCTTTTTTGGACAATACGTTTTTCACTAAATCAATGCCTATTCCTTAATGTTTGCCCGTAATGTAAATAAGGCATGTCTTCATGACGACAGCACTCACAGAAATCTGCTGTTTTATTCCTTAGGTTGTTCAAAGCATAACTCGTAATTGGAAGTTCAAAGTAACGGGTTTTCTAGTATACAGTATAAGCTTCTTTTGGATTGTAACGAAATTAAACTACGAGAAACGTGCACAACCAGTGCCAAAAATTTCATCGACTGTCATTACCAATTTTTTCGCTTAACGCATCAGCGAATACTCCGAGCACTCACACACACACACACACACACACACACACACACACACACACACACACACACACACACACACACACACATACCCACTGGCCTGGCTCTGGCTCTGTCTCTGCTTATGCCATCATCATGTCATCATGGCAAAATCAGACGACATGCAACATTGCATAAAGATTTGTCACCGCTAAAGCTCCAGAATGCTAGACAACAACTGGCAGCGCTATACATACTCGTATAGCTGCAGAGTCAGCCCCAAACACACAAACATACACACGAATACATCCTACCGTGCACCAAGCTTCAAGCTGCGACGAGCACAACTCAAATCGCATTTTCGCATGTTGCATTTCGACAAACAACAGCAGCAGCAGCAGCATCAGCTAATGCAACAA